ATTTTTCAATTTCAATTTCAATTCAAACCATGACAATAATAAATGAATTTTTGTGTTCAGGAAATGATATATTTACTAAATAGTCTAAATAAAACTTTGACAACTTCACAACTTATATGGAGGTTTTCGGTACAATTTGGAAAATCTTGTTTTTATGTCATAAAGCACAAATTCTATCAATTTTTGATAAAATCACTGAGTAAACACCATGTATTGAAATTGCTTATTGAACAATTAGTGTTTAATTTTCCCTACTTTTTCTGTTAGCAAACAATAAGAAAAAAAACTCAAGTCATTACCATCAAACTTCGGTAAAAAGGCATATGAATGTGTTGTCTTTTCTTCTTTTATACAATATGAAAGATAAATGAAACAAAATTATTTCATTTAAAGCAATTTTTAAGAATATTAACACAAATATCAATTAATGTATTCAGTTGTCTGCATAGTTAATATAAAAAATGTTGAAGAATTTATTTCAATTACTGAGGAAAATAATTATCATACCTGAATATTCCGCCGATTCCTGTAAAATTTCTGTCCGATAAGAAAACAAAAGAGATATTTATTAATTTTAATTTAAACTAATATATTTGTATAATTTTCTCAATGAGACGTTTCTTGTTCTGTTTTGTTGTCATGATTATTGGAAATATAAACAAAAGCATTCGTGAAGAATTTATCGAAATTACTGAGGATAAGAAGCTAAATCAGAGAATTTGTGTCCCCTGCTGAGAGAAAAATGTAAACCATGCACAGTTGGGGGGGGGGGCGGATCCCCTAAATTTGTAGAATTTTTAAATGTATACATGTATACTGAAGCGAATAAAAAATGCCAATATGGATATAAAGTTTTTGATTGCTTATTTTCTATTATGTGTATAGAAGATTTTTTATATGGAATATTTATCACACTAATGATGATTGTATGAGTTTGTATAAGCCAGACCTCATAATTTTTTCATTTCACATGCTGACTACTATCATTTAGTGAAAACTTAAGTATTTGTATAATTTTCTCAAAGAATTGCTTCTTTTTCGCTTTTGTGGTAATGCATATTTGAAAGATAAACAAACATTTTATGAACAATTTATCTCAATTACTGTGTACAATAAGTATAAAAAACGTCAGTCCGCATTTGAAATTTTGATACAAGAACTTATGTACTAAATATGTAACTTAATTGGTTTTGTAAAATTAAGAATATACTAAGACTTTTTATGAATCCCGGACCTGAATCCACCTTTTGAATTCCCAGGTTCGTTTTACCTGTCCTAAATATCTTAGATCAAAATAAAACAGATGTGACATTATTTAGATGATGTCTCTACTATCTAACTTTTTCATCTAAAAAAGGATAGATTTTGAGATATGGGATTTCAAGAATACTGGGTTTTGTTGTAAACGTTGTCATTATTAGAAATCATAACAAAAAATCGTGAAGAAATTATCTCAATTAACGAGGAAACAATTCAACGTGTACATGGGTGCTTTTTACTATCTATACAATAAGAAAAAAAACATATTTTTCAATTTCAATTCAAACCATGACAATAATAAATGAATTTTTGTGTTCAGGAAATGATATATTAACTAAATAGTCTAAATAAAACTTTGACAACTTCACAACTTATATGGAGGTTTTCGGTACAATTTGGAAAATCTTGTTTGTATGTCATAAAGCACAAATTCTATCAATTTTTGATAAAATCACTGAGTAAACACCATGTATTGAAATTGCTTATTGAACAATTAGTGTTTAATTTTCCCTACTTTTTCTGTTAGCAAACAATAAGAAAAAAACTCAAGTCATTACCATTAAACTTCGGTAAAAAGGCATATGAATGTGTTGTCTTTTCTTCTTTTATACAATATGAAAGAAAATGAAACAAAATCATACCATTTAAAGCACTTTTTAAGAATATTAACACAAATATCAATTCAAATTAATATATTTAACTTTATGCATAGTCAATATAAAAAAAGGGTGAAGAATTTATTTAGATTACTGATGAAAATAATTATCATACCTGAGTATTCCGCGGATTCATGTAAACTTTCTGTCCGATAAGAAAACAAAAGAGATATTTATTAATTTTAATTTAAACTAATATATTTGTATAATTTTCTCAATGAGACGTTTCTTGTTCTGTTTTGTTGTCATGATTATTGGAAATATAAACAAAAGCATTCGTGAGGAATTTATCGAAATTACTGAGGATAAGAAGCTAAATCAGAGAATTTGTGTCCCCCGCTGAGAGAAAAAAGTAAACCATGTACAGTTGGGGGGGGGGGGGTAGGATCCCCCTAAATTTGTAGAATTTTTAAATGTATATACATGTAAACTGAAGCAAATAAAAACTGCCAATATGGATATAAAGTTTTTGATTGCTTATTTTCTATTATGTGTATAGAAGATTTTTTTATATGGAATATTTATCACACTAATGATGATTTTATGAGTTTGTATAAGCCAGACCTCATAAATTTTTCATTTCACATGCTGAATACTATCATTTAGTAAAAAAAAGTATTTCGGAAAAATATAACACTATCGCCTGGAAAGGATAGTGTTACACACAGACAAAATTATAAATTTACGACCTTAAACTCTGTCCTTTTGACATCAAGGTCAATAGGGGTCTTTCTTAGGCCACAGGGAGTTGTTTTGTAAAATTTCATTGCAAAAGCTCAAAAAAGGAAAAAATGTTGTTTAGTATTAGTGCATACAGGAAAATATTCATTCGATTTTCACCAAAACATGACCGATTCTGTCAGGAAAATGGAATTCTAGTCGAAAATTCTATGACATGTCCTGTCGTACGACTGCTTTTTGGTGTGTTTTCAAAGACTTGAAATATCACCGGTGAGTTGATTAATTCTAAACAACTTTTTCTTTCTCCGAGACGATTGGAGGTTTGAAAAAATTGTGTAATTCATGTATCTTGCGACAAAACTTCAAAATACTACCGTTTGACAGATTTTTAAATGTAAAAACGAAAATCTCGGCAATAATGGGTTCTCGCACGTTAGAGCTTAAAAACAATCCTAACTATTGAATTAAACAACAAGGCCCCAAAATAAATCTACATGCGATGTACAAATTATGACACTTTCCCCGTCATGTTAGCTCAAGTATGCAATGACTTGACGTCATGTTCTATTATGACGTCATATCTAGGTAGTTCAGAGAAGTAACAACAGTCTGAACAGTTTGACATTTTTTCGGACAGCCTTATTCTAGCTGCGTAACTAAATTACTGTTATAAATTTAAGAATAGATGAAGACTTTTAATGAATCCCGGCCCTGATCCCGCCTTTTGAATTCCCACGTTCGATTTACCTGTCTTTAAAATTATCTTTGATCAAAATCAAACAGACATTATTTAGATGATGACTTTACTATCTTACTTTTTCATCTTAAAATGCGGGATTTCAAAAATTATAACACTATTATATTAGTAACTTATTTCCAAACATATGCATCTTACAAAAACAACTTAACACTTTCATCACCATGATAACAACGTTGTGGTATTTTCATCTTTTCATCTTAATCATAAAAAAGTTGTATAATGTTCTCAAAGAGATGCTTTTTAATTTGTGTTGTCAAGATTATTGCAAATATAAACAAAAAAAAATCGTGAACAATATACTGTATTTCAATTCCTGAGAAAAATAATTATCTTACCTGGAAGTCCATCCTTATTTATACGTATACCTCCTGTCCGATAAAAAATCAAAAAAAAAATATTTATCAATTTTAATTAAAACTAAAATATTTGTGTAATGTTCTCAAAGGAATGCTTCTTGTTCGGTGATGTTGTCATAATTATTGAAAATATAAGCAAAAAATTCGCGAAGAATTTATCTTAATTACTGAGGAAAAGAATTAATCATACCTGAACATGGGTACTCTCCTTTTTCTATCAGATAATAAAAAAAATAATTATTAATTTTAATTCAAACTTAAGTATTTGTATAATTTTCTCACAGATTGCTTTTTGTTCGTTTTTGTTGTAATGTTTATTGGAAATATAAACAAAATTTCATGAACAATTTATCTCAATTACTGAGTACAATAAATATGAAAAACGTCTGTCAGCAATTGACATTTTGATACAAGAATATAATAACTGTTAGATTGTATGTTGTGTACGTCCTGTACAAGATTTTTCACTCATGGAGAGAGGTCACAACAAAACGTTGAATCCTTTCAAATTCATTCGGAACTCGGGGCCATTGAACAGTGCGTATTTCCATGGATATGGAGATAACGAACAGTATTTAATATTAAAGTCCATAAAACAATCGAAAATATGAGTAAAGCAAACAAGGACCTTCGAAACATCACCGGTTGGATCAGGTGCCATTGAGGAGTGAGCATCCCCTGCTGACCGGTCACTACCGCGGGAAATAACGGGAAAATCCGTCGTCAATTCAATGTTTAAATAATGGATTTACAATTAGTATGAAAAACGTCAGCCAGCATGTGACATATTGATAAATTGTATTTGCTGACAAGGTCATTGTATCGACCATAGAACCACATCGACCATAGAACTTACGAAATGAGTTTACACGAGACGGCTGATATACTTGCTTGTCAATAATTTACCTCGTTTTGGAAATTGTTCATACAAAGAGCATGCTCTTACGTATCGAATCAATTGAGATATATACACTCCGTATACAGGTGATGAAGGCATATTGCTGCATAAGTAAGGGAAGATGACGATAGAAAAGTTAAAGTCATCACGTCTATCATATAGCTTGGTTGTTAGATTACTATTCACGTCTTTTTCAAGTCATATATCAAAATATGAAACAGATGTGTCAGACTCAATGGTATCTTTTATCTCAAGCTTTCAATGATATTTCGTATCGACGTAGGAATGAATATTGCCATTGTTAATTGACAATACGTCGTCGATATATCTAAATGTAGAGTTTAAGGCCACAACAAGAGTGTCCTTCTTTTCATGCATAAGATTTTGCACAAATTATAAAATTTATGATATACATGTACTTAGGGAACTAAAGTATAAAATATACAACTTAGTTGATGTTATAAAATTAAGAATATACTAAGACTTTTAATGAATCCTGGCCCTGACCCGCCTTTTGAATTCACACGTTCGCTTTTCCTGTCCTTAAAATTATCTTAGATCAAAATCAATTAGACAACATTATTTAGATTATGTCTCTATTATCTATCTTTTTCATCTAAAAAGGATAGTCGTTAAGATGTTGGATTTCAAGAAATATAATACTTTTATATTAGTACTTCCTTCCATAAATATGCATCTATCTTAATAAAAAAAATTGTATAATTTTCTCAAAGAGACACTTCTTGTTCCGTTTTGGTGTCATGATTATTGGAAATATACACAAAATATTCATGAAGTATTTATTACAATAAGTGAGCAAAATAATTATCCTACCTGAAAATGGATGCACTAACCCTGTTTGGTTAGAAAAACAAGATATTTATCAATTTTAATTAAAACTATATTATTTGTATAATTTTTAAAAGAGATGCTTCTTGTTCGCTTTTATTGTCATGATTATTGAAAATATTAGCAAAAAAATTCGTGAAGAATTTATCTCAATTATTGAGGAAAATTATTATCCTACCTGTGCGTGGGTCACGGTTACGTCCTATACGATAAAAAAAGAGATAATTATTGATTCTAATTCAAACTAAAGTATTTGTATAATTTTCTCAAAGAATGCTTCTTGTTCGTGTTTGTGGTAATGAATATTGGAAATATAAACGAAAAATTTATGAACAATATATCTCAATTACTGAGTACAATAAGTATGAAAGACGCCGGTCAGCATTTGACATTTTGATACAAGAAAATCATAATTGTTAGATTGTATGTTGTTTTACGTCCAATTTAATAAATTTTCATCCGAGGAGAGAGGTCACAAAAAACGTTGAAGCCTACAAATTCATTCGAAACTCGAGGCCATTTAACAGTGAGTATTTCTATAAAATGTAGGATATACTTAGGAAACTTAAGTATAAAATATATAACTTAATTGATGTTATAAAATTAAGAATATACTAAGACTTTTTATGAATCCCGGCCCTGATCCAACCTTTTGAATTCCCACGTTCGCTTTTCTTGTCCTTAAAATTATCTTAGATCAAAATTAAACAGACAACATTATTTAGATAATGTCTCTATTATCTAACTTTTTCATCTAAAATAGGATAGTTGTTAAGATGTGGTATTTCAAGAAATGTAACACAATAATATTAATAAGTTCTTTCCAAAAATGTGCATCTTTCAAAGCTAAATACTTTCATCAAGATAATAACTTCGTGGGATTTTCATCTTTTTATCTTAACCACGAAAAACATTGTATTCTCAACGAGATGATTCTTGTTCGTTTTTCTTTTTAAGATTATTTGGAATATAAACAAAAAATTCATGAAGAATTTATTACAGTAATACTGAGGAAAGTAGTTATCCTACCTGTAAATACCAGCGGTAATTTTATACTGCCTGTATGATAAGAAAAACAAAAGAGATATTTATAAATTTTAATTCAAACTAAAATATTTGTATAATTTTCTCAAAGAGATGCTTCATGTTTAGGTTTTTTTTATTATTATTTGAATTATAAACAAAAACTTCGTGAAGAATTTATTTCAATTATTATTATCCTCTCTGTGCCTGGAAGCCTTCTACTTCCTATCCGATAAAAAAACCCGGATATTTATTACTTCTAATTCAACTAAAAGTATCTGTATAATTTTCTCAAAGAGATTCTTCTGATTCTTTTTGTTGTCGTGATAATTCGAAATAAAACCAAAAAAAAATCCTGAAGAATTTATTACAATTACTGAAGGAAATAATTATTTTACCTTGATGTCCCGCCGATATATTTTCTATCAGATAGGAAAACAGAAAAGATATTTACCAATTTTAATTCAAACTAAAATATTTGTATAATTTTCTCAAAAAGATGCTTCTTGTTCGGTTTTGTTGTCATGATTTTAAGGGAAAAAAATCGTGAAAAATTTGTATCAATTACTGAGGGAAAAAAATAATCATACCTCTAAACGGATGCCTTCTTCTTTCTATCCGACAATGAAAAAAGTTATTATTAATTTTCATTCAAACTAAAGTATTTGTATAATTTTCTCAAAGAATTGCTTCTTTTTCGCTTTTGTGGTACTGAATATTGGAAATATAAACAAACATTTTATGAACAATTTATCTCAATTACTGTGTACAATAAGTATAAAAAACGTCAGTCAGCATTTGAAATTTTGATAAAAGAACTTAAGTATTAAATATGTAACTTAATTGGTTTTGTAAAATTAAGAATCTACTAAGACTTTTAATGAATCCCGGACCTGAATCCACCTTTTGAATTCCCAGGTTCGTTTTACCTGTCCTAAATATCTTAGATCAAAATAAAACAGATGTGACATTATTTAGATGATGTCTCTACTATCTAACTTTTTCATCTAAAAAAGGATAGATTTTGAGATATGGGATTTCAAGAATATTGGGTTTTGTTGTAAAAGTTGTCATTATTAGAAATCATAACAAAAAATCGTGAAGAAATTATCTCAATTAACGAGGAAACAATTCAACGTGTACATGGTTGCTTTTTACTATCTATACAATAAGAAAAAAACCCATATATTTTTCAATTTCAATTTCAATTCAAACCATGACAATAATAAATGAATTTTTGTGTTCAGGAAATGATATATTTACTAAATAGTCTAAATAAAACTTTGACAACTTCACAACTTATATGGAGGTTTTCGGTACAATTTGGAAAATCTTGTTTTTATGTCATAAAGCACAAATTCTATCAATTTTTGATAAAATCACTGAGTAAACACCATGTATTGAAATTGCTTATTGAACAATTAGTGTTTAATTTTCCCTACTTTTTCTGTTAGCAAACAATAAGAAAAAAACTCAAGTCATTACCATCAAACTTCGGTAAAAAGGCATATGAATGTGTTGTCTTTTCTTCTTTTATACAATATGAAAGATAAATGAAACAAAATTATTTCATTTAAAGCACTTTTTAAGAATATTAACACAAATATCAATTAATGTATTCAATTGTCTGCATAGTTAATATAAAAAATGTTGAAGAATTTATTTCAATTACTGAGGAAAATAATTATCATACCTGAATATTCCGCCGATTCCTGTAAACTTTCTGTCCGATAAGAAAACAAAAGAGATATTTATTAATTTTAATTTAAACTAATATATTTGTATAATTTTCTCAATGAGACGTTTCTTGTTCTGTTTTGTTGTCATGATTATTGGAAATATAAACAAAAGCATTCGTGAAGAATTTATCGAAATTACTGAGGATAAGAAGCTAAATCAGAGAATTTGTGTCCCCTGCTGAGAGAAAAATGTAAACCATGCACAGTTGGGGGGGGGGGGGCGGATCCCCCTAAATTTGTAGAATTTTTAAATGTATACATGTATACTGAAGCGAATAAAAAATGCCAATATGGATATAAAGTTTTTGATTGCTTATTTTTTATTATGTATATAGAAGATTCTTTTTATATGGAATATTTATCACACTGTAATGATGATTGTATGAGTTTATACAAGCCAGACCTCATATTTTTTTTTCATTTCACATGCTGAATACTATCATTTAGTAAAAAAAAATATTTCGGAAAAATATAACACTATCGCCCGGAAAGGATAGTGTTACACACAGACAAAATTATAAATTTACGACCTTAAACTTTGAACTTTTGACATCAAGATCAATAGGGGTCTTTCTTAGGCCACAGGAAGTTGTTTTGTAAAATTTCATTGCAAAAGCTCAAAGGGTTCTCGAGATATCGTGCGGAAACGAAAGTTTTATAACAAACAGAATTTGAGAATTTATTACCTTGGCCTTTGACTATTTGTCCTCAAAATCTATCGGGTTCTTCTTTAGTCCTTAGGGAGTTGCTATGCAAAATTTCATTGCAAAAGCTCAAGGGGTTCTCGAAATATCGCGTGGAAACGAAAGCGTTACAGACAGACAGAAAGACGGACAGATGGACGGACAGACGGACAGACCCAAATAAATATCCCCCACTTTTCAATTTGTCTCTATAACTGAGTACAAAAAGTATGAAAAACGCCGGTCAGCATTCGAAATTTTGACACAAGAATTTAAGTATCAAAAGACAGTCCACTGAAAAACCAGGCAATGGGTGGCACATCGCATGTCATGGATTTTAATTATTTTTTGCATGTAGACTTATTAAGGCAAGTGTTTACACATGACAACATCAAAAAATGTTTAGTTCTCCTCTAATCCCTTTTTGGTGAATGCTTAATTTTTAGTGCAAAAAGGTCAACATGAGGGTAAAAAAAAATACTACATTTTTATTTTGTTTTATATGTTAATATACTCAAAAGCTGGATATTTCGATGAATGTCATTTATAGCAAAGACTCTTTTTTATTAATGAATAAGACGCCAATTTATACTTCTTAAGAAAAAATTATATGGTCCAAATTTGGGTTAATCACGTAACTTTTTGAATTTAACATCCAATTTTCATTACTTTATAGGACCCAATACATAACAAGGACAGAATTTTATTCTTATGTTATGTTGAATACAAAGTACAAACTTTTGAGTCAATCAATAAAATCAGAGGGAACAGGTATATTGAAAGAAATAAAAGGAGTCAAATTTACCTCTTTTTTTTTTAATTTTCCCAAATGAAAACGATCCCGATTGGAATTATATAAAGAAGAAAATACTATAATTGTAATGTTTAATTTGGCTCTTTTGTTGTAATTTGATTGAAAAATTACTTGATTTTATTAAACTGTTATATAAGTGGCAGGTGCCTTTACTTTGATAATTTTTTTTTTAATTTTGCATTATTTTCAATTGGGATCGGTTTTTACCGTTAATTAGAAATATTTCCTAAATTTGGCTCTTTATTTTAATTTATCAGAAAAATTTGCTTGTTTTTTATTTCTTTTTTAGTCAGTGTACTGTTTTCAAATGAGTATAACCATAGATTCAAATGTATATATTATTTAAATAACTAATGTCATTTACGTACATGAAGATTGCATGTAAAACATCTGAGTGATTTTTAATAGATACTCGGTATTTAAAAAAAGTATTTGTACATGCATTATTAAACTACTTAGAGCAGAAAACTTTCTAGCTTCATTATTTATTTTCTTTTCGAGTAAAATTTCATTTTAATTTTATCAGGAATTAAATTAAAAGTAAATTTTCTCAGTGTCGAAATTAAACTTGCCTAAATACAGGAAATATTTGTATGTGTATAGTCTCGACTTTATCCAGATTTGTTTCTTACCTGTCATCTGTAAAGCCTTTTCCTCTTTTACAAAATTTGATTTTACATAAACAAGAAAATAAGTTATTTCATATTATATATAGTATTATTATTCTAGAGCCGATAAATCGCAAGCAACTCTCCCGAGTTTTTCAAAAAAATCTTGTTAGAAGCAAAGACAAAGAATATTCTTGGGTCCTATTCAAAGTTTATTTTAGTACTTGTAAGATATTCTCATATGCACAATGCTAATGATATACAAATGCTTTCAGAACTTTGTGTCTAAACAAGCGAATGTCGTTATAGATCGAGATAAATGTCTTTTAGGGATGACAACTTTATTCCATCAAATGGGGTTGGGGCTTTTAAATTATGACTCTTTTGAATCTTTTCCACCTCTAAATATTTCTTTAAAAAACGTAAAATTATAAGAAACATCACAGATATAAAAAAAAATGATAACAAATATTTAAGCAGAAGATTTTTAAACATTCTGAAGACCCTTACCGCGCTCACTAGTAAATGAACTCGATGTCTCCTCCATTGAGAATGTAATAAAAACTGTTCCATCAATTTTTACAATGTCAGGAGCATGATGTTATTCTTGTCTAGGAAAGAAAAAATATATATATATTCTGCATTATAATAACCACGTTACAATCTTGGATTATTATTAAATTCATGATAATTTCCAAGTATCTGAATAAATAAGAATTACTTTCGTTTTGGTATCATCTCCGGAAGTAGGCCTTTTGAGGCAATTGCCAAGTCTAGTCCGGTAAAATTCCGAATACCTTTACCTTCAACAGGTCGGAGAGAATACTCGAAATCGGGTATTATCCGTGAAATCGCGTATAATACTCGATATTAGGGTATCGTTGAATCTGCGAAATCGGGTATAGGAGGTGTAAACACCTAATAAAACTTAAAGAATGGGATGGCGCATGTTGCCGAGTTAACTTTCATCTAGATACACATGTTTTCTAAAGATATCACTAGCCAAGTAAGAATTTGGATTTCAAGATTAATGCGCTCGGGACAACAAATACCCGTGGAGCTCAGTACATTCCATGATCTGCACACAAAAAGGCGTTCGATTTGCTTTATATTTTACCTTATGTTGAAAGTATATGCATCTTCCTAATGTTCATTCCCAACACAACAGAATTGTAAAGTATCAGAATTCGGGAATTTATAATAATTCCACATCAACACGACAAACATGAACAATTTGTAAATAAATCAAATTATACGGAAACACATTTCACACACCAGATATGATGCCATGTATAAACAAGAGATTGTCTATTCTATCTAATTATGAGTAATTAATTACTTTCACATTCATCTTGTGCATAAAATCAAATTTATTTTTGAATGTATAAATAATGTAATGATAAAAATGTCTAAAATTTCGGCTAAAAGAACCCTCTTTCTCTTTTTTTGAAAATCTTTTCTTTTTTTTTTTAACATTCAAACATATTTGCAGAATATGTCTTCAAAATTTTAGCAGAGACAGTGATAGTTTCAATTTATGAGAGAACATAACTGTTGATCGTTTAATTTCGCTAAGTCATCAATATTTTACCATTTCCTGGCGACTTCAAAAGGGAGGGGGGGGGGACTAAAGGCTTCTTGACCACCTCTGACAAAACAACCTCGACTGTGTTATACATGTGTCTAAAAGACCTCTCTTTGAATGTAACGGTCGGTTAAACTCGGTCATATATTTTTAATCGTAAGGAAGAGGGGGGGGGGGGTTAGGTTCAAACTTTAGTACCTTAATTTTTCTCCAACCACCAAAACTTTACCCATTTTTAGCCTATACTGCGAGGTGTCTGTGGAAAGTGGGGGGGGGGGGGGGGGCTTTACCAATGTAACAAGGTTAAATGTATATACTAAGTATATATTGGGAAAAAAGTGGGGGGGGGCTAAGCCCCCCTAGCCCCCCCCCCCCCCCCGTTCCGACGCGTATGATAAAGAAAGGAAATGGCTACGATTTTTATGAAATTTTAATGTCCGATGAGGAATTATATTCCCAAAAAGTAAGACAAGATTTTCCAAGGCAATTGAAGACTCCATTATTTCAGATTGTTCATTAACATGTTCATAAACGTAAAAACTATAAGAAATGTGAAAACTTGACTATGTAATTCATATATCAATATGACTGTACCTCGATCTATATTGAGAAATTCAATGTATTTTAACTTCATGAAAAGATGTACACATTTGACTTTTATTTATACCCCCCCTTAAAAAAAAAACACGAAAATCCTGTTCATATGACTTCTCGCTTTCAATTTTCACAAAATGCATAAAATAAAGGTAAAATAGTATATTTTTTATCGATTAAAATGCAACCAAAAATTTACGGTGTCTTTGAATTAAACATTTCATGCTAAATTGACATAAAAAAGATACTCCGCTTCAATTAGCTATTTTCAAACTGTTTTCCCGTGCGTATTTATTTCATCTTATTTTATTTTCTTCTTTATAATAACGTTGGTATTCTATAATGACAATTATGACTCGCTTTACTGTACTCTCTAACTGTTAGGAGTAATTTATATTTCACGAGAAAGGGACGCCATACATTTTTCAGTAAAAATACATAACACGGCGTTAGTCGTTTAATTTCTTTAAAATTTCACGTTTTGTGAATAATGCACAAATTAGAAAATTAAGTATATGGAATACTTTAATGGGAAATAAAGACAAACGAAGTGTAGTTATTTGTTTTTAGAAATTATATTGAAAAATGATAACGCCACTGTGTCCTCTTTGTTACCCCAGCAGTGTTTGTCGTGTGATTTTAAAGTTATTTGAGAACCTTATGAATTAGGTTTAATAAAAATAAATCCACAAGATACTGATGTGCAAGTAACAGTTACTGGCATAATGCGCCATTGCTTTATTCTTCAGTTTTTATAGAAAGTTGCACGGAATACCCGATTTCGCGGATTCAACGATACCCTAATATCGAGTATTATACGCGATTTCACGGATAATACCCGATTTCGAGTATTCTCTCCGACCTGTTCAAAGTATGAATCTATTTGTGACGTCATGGAATATCAAATTTCAAATTATTTGTAAAATAATCTTTTTTTCATTGAATTAATAGATTTTTTTTATGAAAACATTACAAACTCATACATTTTGACCCAGACGCGGTCAAGTGTGTGACGATTAAATTCTATTTGTAGTAAGGTTATTTGCAGGTACCCCTATTATTTTTTTATGGTTTACGGGAGATAACTCTTTAACTCTTAGATAACTGTTTACCGGAATGGTAAATCGGGAACACTTCAAATAATATGTGTGCCTGCTGTAATAAAAGTTGTCGACTACAGCTCTCCTCTGTTCATTTTTAGGGATAACATTTTGGGGGCTCGTCCGGGATTACAGAGGAAATGGCACTCACAGAGGACATGGTATGGACGAGATCCAGGATCATGACAGCTCCTGTGGAGACTGAAGGAAATACTTGAGTTATATGGACAGCAGCCAAAATCGTCTGACAGAGTTAAACTGGTCATGGACGCGGACAAGCTTTTCCTTGCGGAGATGGAAGGAGAACTGGCTAGGACTACCCTATTGGCATTCAAGCAGTGCTTAAGGTAAGTCACTCCTCAGCTTTTTAGAAAAGTTCACGCAGAAGCTTTTACTTCAAAACTACTTATCAAAATTCAATTTTTATAACATATTTATATTCAACAATGTTAATTTTTTAATCATTCAATGAAAAAACTGCTCAAAAATCAACAAAGAAGCAAGATTTATGAGGGACTATTTCTTTTGGTGGAAGGATATTTAGCAGAAAATTCTGCAAATCTGTACATTTATAAAATTTAATGTAATGGAAGTTTAACTTCACATACTTTTACTTGGAGAATATTTTCCGTTTTGATATTGCTAAAAATATTTAATATAGGTCTTAATTTATATTTTTAGACTAAGTTTTACACCTTCCTTCAACAAACTTTCCCAAAAAATGAAAATATATGAAAGAAGTCAAGGTCAAATTTACACCATTTTTAGCCTGAAAATCACATATTTTGACAAATATTTCAAATTTAACATCACTGACCCCACCTTTCTCTTTCATTATTTTAAACTACTCGATACTTGTGATTGATCAGCACTCAAGTCGTAAAAAGTTTGATATAAGAAAATTTTTTATTGCCTATTAAGTTTTTTAATACCCCAAATATGTTATTTTTTAGTGCAAAAAGGTCAAACAATAATTTACGTGCATTAATTTGCAAGATTTATTTAATGATAAATATTATTCAAACTATTTTACGTAAAATAAGATTATATTTATTGCCATGCTTACATCTAATCAAATATAATAAGGGTTAAATTAATTAACCAAAAAGATGAAACTTAAGTGCAAAAAGGTCAACTTAAATGTACCGTAGATCAGTAGGATGCACACTGACCCCCTATTTTCTTTGCGATTTTGAGTTACACTTTATGAGTACTTATCCAAAATATACTTCTCAAAAAATCCTTGATATAACAAACTTGAGGAGTGACTTACCTTAAGCGATAAACAGTCTACCACTGTGAAGACAGAGAAAGTAAGTGACAAAACAGTTATCCCCAGTGTCAACAATGTGAAAGTTCATAAAGACTTTAAGATATCTGGACAGATTGATAGTAAATCCGGAATTTCCTATATCAGCTTGATACGTCAGATTGAAGCAGGACTAAAGAAGGGACACACTGAGGATGATGTGATTGATGGGGTCATACGTGCAGTGATTCCCTCCTCCAGTTTGAGAAGCTACTTGGACGGCCGACAGGATTTGTCCCTTCCAACCCTTCGAAGAATACTCAGAGCCCACTATGCTGAAAAGAACTCCACTGAACTTTATACAGAACTTGCTAGCTCAGTTCAATTAACCAAAGAGACAAGCAGTGAATTTCTAATGCGCAGCATGGACTTACGGAACAAAATCCTCTTTGCATCTTTGGAAAATAGTGACGAACTCAAATACAGTCCAGATTTAGTTCATAAACTTTTTGCTAGGACAGTCCAAACTGGTTTTCGGGACCAGATTCTTAGACAAGAAATGAAGTCCATTTTGTCTGACCAGACCAAGACTGATGCGGAGTTATTGGATGAACTAAACAAAATCGTTCGTCGTGAAAATGAAAATGAACAAAAAGTCGGCAAGACAGTTGTAGCGTCTATGAAGAGCGATGACACTTGTGCAACAAGGGAACTCCTGGACGAAATAAAGGCACTCAAGGTGGAGGTAGCACAACTCAAGGATGAAACTCGCCAACAGAAGGTGATCCAGTCTGAATCTGAACGACGCAACACTGGTGGAACAAGAGGATGCCGTAGATGTCGTGAACAAAACAAAAGGTGCTACCATTGCTGGTCGTGTGGGTCTGATGGACACTTACAGCGCAACTGTCCCAAACAGTCAAGACCGTCAGCTGGCCGAGGAAGATCAAGCTCGGAAAACGACCAAGGGTCTCGTTAGAGGGACTTCGCGGGTCCCAAACCTCAACAGATAGTCCCAAGTGTATGAACTGTAATGAACATATTGATGCTAATATTGCAAAATGTTGTAGTGCATGTTTTTGTTCGTATTATTGTTCCAAATCATGTCAGAAAGATCACTGGGCACAGCATAAATTGATTTGTAATTCTATCAAATACATGTCAAGAAAGTATGGTCAGAATGTGGAAGTACATGTGAATGAAATTAAGGGCTCAG